CAACTTGATAGCAAAACTCATTCTTGTTTTTTGTTGTTGTTTTTTGAGACAGAGGCTCACGCTGTTGCCCTTGATAGAGTGCTGAGACGTCATTCATAGCTCACAGCAACCACAAACTCCTAGGCTCAAGTGATGGTCCTGCCTCAGCCCCCTACGTAGCTGGGACTACAGGTTATGGCCATAAGGCCTGGCTGGTTTTTCTATTTTATTATTTATTTATTTATTTATTTTTGAGACAGAGTCTTACTATGTCGCCCTCAGTAGAGTGCTGCAGTGTCACAGCTCACAGCAACCTCAAACTCTTGGGCTTAAGCCATTGTCTTGCTGCAGCCTCCCAAGCAGCTGGGACTACAGGTGCCCGTCACAACCACCATCCATTTTTTTGTTGCAATTGTCATTGTTGTTTAGCTGGGGGTTGGGTTCAAACCCGCCAGCCTGGGTGTATGTGGCTGGCACCGTAACCACTGTGCTATGGTGCAGTGCCTGGTTTTTCTATTTTTTTAGAGATAGGGTCACTCTCCTGCTCAGGCTGATCTGGAACTTCCACTTCAACCTCCCAGAGTGCTAGGATTACAGGCGTGAGCCACTGCTCCATCACAAGAACTCATTCTTGACACTGGGAACCAGGAATATCCACTTCCAGCTAGACCTAGCAGTGGTTCCCAGGAGGTGTCTGGACCATGGCAAAGGAAGTGTATGGCAAATCAAATCCCAGGCTGTAGACAGTCGAAGGCCCTAGGAGAGTTGTGTAATTGAGAAGAATCCCAGGACTATTTTTTAGTATGATGCAGGACATTCCATACTCTTATTGTTTGTTTTACAGGCAGTAACTGTATAAATTGTTCACATACACAAGCACAACTTAATCCTTTCTGATGTATGTCAGACCTCATCCAGTGTAATGATTTTCCTGTCCCTCTTTTATGTCAGAAGACATCTTGTGGCAGGAAGACGGGGTCCAGTGAAGAGAGGGAACACCCAAACACTGTTTAGAAGAAGAAGGAGGCTCGGTGCCTGTAGCTCACCACATATACCAGGGCTAGAAGGTTCAAACCCTGTGTGAGCCTGCCAAACAACAGTGACAACAACAACAACAACAACAAAATAGGCATTGTGGCAGGGGCCTGTAGTCCCAGCTACTTGGGAGGCTGAGGCAAGAGAATCACTTAAGCCCAAGAGCTCATGGTTGCTGTGAGCTGTGATGCCACAGCACTCTACCCAGGGTGACATAGTAGGACTCTGTCACACACACACAAAAGTAAATAAACAATAAAAAATTAATAAAATAATAATAAAAGAGGAAGGAATTTATTCCAGCCAGTGGAGTGACAGCAAACAAGAGTCCAAAAATAGCCATGCTCCTGGACTGGATCAGTCTGCAGGTAGAATGGGGACAGAAGATCCCATTCTTGGCAAAGGAAAGCACCTCCAGAAAAAAAGGGAGGGATGGAGAAATAAGCTGAGCAAGGCAGAACAAAGAAAAGTCAGCTAGCATTCCTTTAGACCAGCCACTAAATTTCCTATGTGAGCAAGTTTCCTGCTTTTCCTAGACACCTGGCCTGTGGGGATACACCTTGCTAACACCCCTCTGGGTCTGTGAACACTCTGAAGGGATAATGGCCACAGGGGAAGCTGTGGGCAAGGCCTAGCAAGAAAAATTAACTAGGCCATCTCCTGTTCAGTCAACAACCAAAGCAAATACCCATTGTGGAGATTTATATTTGGCCAGGGAAGAGATAAAGGAACA